ACACACAGAAAACACTGCATAAGTTTCACCTCAAGGACAAGGCTAGAGACAAGCAGAAAACGTCATGGTGGGTGAACGAATCCAGGGCCAAAATGAATCGCTAAGTTCTCCAGAGGATATATGGTCCTGAAGGTTGGAGGTCATTTTCTCTTTTTCCTTACTATAACTAAGAAAGCATCAGTAAAGATACACTGCACTGTTCTTTGCTTAATCTAGGTGATGATTTTTGGTCCATTGAATTTTGAAAATTATTATTATTATTTTTTCCTTAGGAATGAGGACTTGCATCTTAAGGAGAGGTTTGAAGAGATGAGCAAGACCTGTCAAAGGCAGCTGGAGAAGGTGCTCATAGCTTTTATCCAATCTAGAACGCACTGGGAGTGGAAGGCCTGTGCCGTAGCCCCTTGTTTCCACCTGTTCTGATTGCGATGGGCCCAATGAATTAACTGAAGCCACGTTTGCTTCAGTGTTGGCATTTTATACCAATCCTCTTAGCTCAATGTGTTCATTATGGAGGGATGTCAAGGATTCTGAATCCCAGCTATTAATGTCAGCTCTCCTGGAGACCAAACCACTTCTTATATTTAGGCAGGTATATGATTGATGAGATGTTACAACATATGTCCATTTTACTCGAATGTTCTTAGTTTCTCCTGATATTCAAATTCATTATTTAATTTTAAAAGCATATAAATTATAGACCAAATAAAAAAAATCAGATCATACAGTGAAAAGAAAATTAAAATGTGGACCTTGATGCCATACACTGAGATTTCAATCTATATTTGGAACAGTTTTAATTATAGGGAAAAAAATGGAAATCCAATTGAACAAAATATATAAATACATAAATCGTATACCATCACATTACGTCATTTAGCCTGCCACTAAAATCTGCATCAAATTGATGTATTTCACCAGCTAACCATAAAACAAGGAAATTTTTCACTAAATAGTTAAGAATCAATTGAACTCATTTGATATTTACGACACCACATTACTTCTGAATTCTGATGTGTGAATAATCAATTACAATTACTCTGCTTTTTAAAAATATCAAAACATTTCAATAAGTTTTATAAGAATTACTTTTTCATGTAATAAAAATAATGATATGACCCTATATATAAATTTCCTAAGAAGAATGTCTTCGTTAGATATATTACGTCTCATAACCAGCCCGTCGGCATAGATCAAATTCAAAACGTAATCTACCTAAATACGACGACCTTGTAGGCATACAAAGCCCCCCTTTTTGTTGTTTTCTTTAAAAGCAGTTGTTTAATTTTGTTCTTTCTCTTAGTTGGGTTTAAGTAATTATCTTCATTTACATTGCAAATATGCTTACAAATTGTAAATATTCTTGATATGTTTAAGAATTAGTGTTTTGATTATGTCTTGGGTGTGTTAAAGCATAGAGATCCAACATTTGATAGAGCCTAAAACCAATTCTTTATATTTCGATGAGCATAAAGAAAACAAATGGAGCCCCATTTTAGGAGGACTGCATGTTCTATATCAGTTAGAAAAAATGAGTTCTACTGCTCCCTACACCAAGTGACAGAATCATAAAAGAAATATGGAAGTTGATAATAGCAGTTACTGCAGCAATAAAAACATGATAAAAGGTTCTTTGACAGTTTGAAACCTTGGAAGCCTTGCCAAATGCAAAATCGAGTTTGGAGGCCCTGGCACGATCCTGCTGGCTTTAGGAGGTCTTCGGGTCTTTTGACAACTTCTGGTTAATCCCCCTAAGTTAAAGTGATCTATCAAAATGCTTTAGTTTCCAAGAGCAATCAAAATCATTTGAACTTTAAGTACACATTAAGAAAAGAAAAAGGCTACAGTAGTATTTGTGGAGCAAGGACTCCTGGATCCAATCAAAATGGTAGAATTGGCTGTAGTATCATTTTGCACTTGGATATACGTTTTTGAAGTTATCAGCCCATATGAGCCTATTCAAATTTATGTTGGTTCGTTTTATTTTTTAAGATTTTATTTATTTATTTATTCATTTATTTATTGACAGCACAAGTAGGCAGAGTGGCAGACAGAGGGAGAGGGAGAGGGAGAAGCAGGCTCCCCATGGAGCAGGGAGCCTGATGAAGTGCCCGATCCCAGGTCCCTGGGATCATGACCTGAGCCAAAGGCAGGCGCTTAACCGACTGAGCCACCCAGGTGCCCCTGTTTGTTCATTTTAAATACAATAATTCTAGCCACTGATGATGATGACATTTTTCATTTTTTGTTTCTTTTTGTAAGGTGAAAATTCACAGGGAAAAATTTCAGATACTGATGATTCTTTCAGTATTTGTTCAATTTAAGGAGCCCATAAGGTAATATTTAATAAGACCCTATCCCTCACTATCTTTCTTGGCTCTTAACCTTAATCTGTATTAGACTCCACCATATCTCCCCACCGTGCCAAAAAGCATTACAGCTTTGAAATAACTCTTAGTGGGTTATATGTATTTATTTTTTTACCCGTTTCTGCATTTCTTGTTGAAATCCTTGCATGAAATGGCACTGAAAGAAGAAAACAAATGCAAAACAGCACTCTGTTTTGCACATAAACATTACCAGCACTATTTCCATGTCAACAACCAGTGACTTCTTCCAGTGCTATCTAAGTGGAAATTATTGTTTTGTAGAGTTGACTGCTAGGCACAGGGGCATTCAACAGAAGGAAGATCGAATGACCTAAGTGTGAGCCCAACTGGCAGACATCAGTGAGCCCTCCTTTTTCATATGTCCCTCCAGGATCCTATTCACCTACTTAGATGGCTGGCAGAGAGCTCACTGTGCTCTTAACTGCCCATACATGTGCACACACACAACGTCAACAGTGATGCTTGGAAATGCTTATGCAGTTATTCTTGACTTGTAATATTGTCAATGTTTTCTTTAGTTGAGTTCAGTTTAGATTGGATACTAATCCATTCTTAGCAAAAATAATATACTTCCTTTAACTTTTACATCTAAAAATATGCTTAAATACCTATTCCTATTTTTCCCCACTCAATTTATGAACTTGTTAAGCACATACAAGTACACACACACACACACACACACACACACACACACACACACACCCCTATCTCCCCAACATAGAATAAAATGTGTTTTTTCAATTAAGGAGTAACTACACAATTCCTAACATTTCAGTACCTTATTTTTAAAAAGAAAAAAAATAGTTCTTCACGGCACTGTGTTCAAAAGTTTTGGTCATTGTACAGTAGGGAGTTCCTCTGATCAAAATGCAGAGGACATCAGGATTGAAGAAAACTAGACGGTTATCCTATTAAACCACACTCAAGTAGTTGAATCTGTATGACGACATGTCTGCCAAGTAGACCTGTATGGTGATATGCCTCCAGTAAAAAGGAAAGTAAAAGATGCTCTCTGAACACGGACTATCACCAGTAAGACATTTATTAATAGTTTTATTACACTTGTTTCTAAAATCGATTATTTCAACAGTGAAGAGGTAAATGCCAGACTAACCTCAGTCAGATGGTTATTATAGTTCGGTTGACAGGAAATTACAAGAAACATCTACACTATAATCCTGTTATAGAGCATGTAATACATTAAAACACGCTGGAGAGGCTGCATGAATTGGCAACATTTTATGTCATTAAAAAAAATCGAAAACCTAAATATGGTGCTTACTATAGGTGCAGGTATTCGAAAGATCTTTCATTTTAAAGGGTAATTCTGTATCATTAAAGAAAAATCTATCATCTGTCAAAGGCAGATATGTTTATATCAAGTGATACCTGTGTTTAAATATAATTTAAGACTGTTAAATATAAATTCACGTTTACTTCCATATAAAAATATATATAAAAATAGAGTATTTAAAGAGGTGGATATTCATACAAAGGAACTGATCGATCAAAATAGTCTTTTTTGGGTATGGTAATGAAATTGAGGTATTTGTAACATGAATTGAATAACCCTCTCAGGTTTATTTTTCCCCCAAAAGAAAAACAATCCTTTAAAAGCCAGTTTTAACTGTGGGATAGCTCACAACAAAGAACTTGAAAAATAAGGAAATTCACTATTTTGAAATTAACATATAGAAGAGAAAGTTCTCAATACTAGAACTGGACATGTTGTGTATGTATGCCACAGTTTTAATGAAAAAATAATTTTATGCTTACTCTAAATTTGTATTAGGTAAATCAAAATATAGTTACCAGTGACACAATGTTTGTGGGCATATACAAATGTTGTATGAAAATAAACTCCTCTGCACTTGCAAATGGCCAATCCTTTGAAAATATTGCATAAAATGTAATCTTAAATTACCCAGGATTCTAACAGCAAACAAAAGCTTTCTTAACGGATATCGTCAGTAAAACATAATAAAATAATACACTTTAAAATTGCATATTTAATCAACTTAGACTGCAGTTACCCATCCAAGTTCACAGACAGGGTAGGAGGGAATGTTTATGAAAAGGACAAAGAGTGCAAAGTTAAATGCATTGGTGTTTTAATTGTAAAATATTACATTTCCTATCTCTCATAGAATCTTTTCGAATTCCTCGTGGAGCATCCCTGTTCTTTTCCTTTCGATTGTAAAATTTAAGAAGTATAGGAAGACATATTTTTCATAAACATTAGATTCACAAAGCCTAAGCCATCATAAAGCTCACATTTTCTCCCGGTAGAGGACACAAACACAATCCCTACTTGCAAGTGGAATGTAACTGCTTTTTTCTCCTTTTCAGTATTAATGTACCAAGAGAGAAGATAACGTGATCTCAAGAGCTTTATCTTTTTTGTCCACATAATTCAAGTGTCTCTATTTCTCCTTATTATCACAATGCAATACCTAGCCCACAGTGGTTCTAATTCACGATTATACTTCAAGTAACCTTTCTCTAGCTCTAGCTTTCCCCTTGAAGACACATGATTTTCAAGTGCACACCTCAACCTTACAAAGCTGTAGGAAAAAAGTGTTATTATTACCTTTTTTTAGCCACGCGTGTGTTGGTGTGTATGTGTGTGCCCAGGTTCCTGGGTGTGCGGTCGGTCCAAATACACGTGACATACAGGATTTGGTTCTTAGACCACTGCCCAGGTGAGTGAGTGGCTTGCCTCCAATTCCAAGTTCAGGCCTCCTGCAGGGAGTCTACACAGTTCTTTCACTCACACACATCCTGCTGAGAAGGATTTCAGAGCAAACCTGATTAATTGGACCTCTGACGTGATAGGGGGACTGAAAATTTGTTACAGAGTCTTGTCGTCGTCGTTGTAGTTTGCTTTGATTGCTGAAATATTTCCCCACAATGTGATTACTTGATTGTTTCATTTTAATAAAGTGATATTCTTTGGATAGCTTTGATTTCACTACCTGCAAATAAAGAGCAAAAAATAGTTACAATCAAGGACATCCAAGCTCTGCATCGAGTAGTATAATTAACTCACAAATTCGGTAGCATCTGTACCACGTGGATGTTGCCTAAAGGGTATACATGTGATCTATATAACCAAGAGCCAGAGAAAGTTATCTTTCCAAAAAAAACCCCCAAAAACCAAAAAGCCAAAACGAAAAAAAAAATTAACGTTGGAATTAGAATTTCTGCCATTTTCCTTACCTCACGGCAGCTGGCCCCAATGCAGCTGAGGAATAATTTTAGATGGTTTCTCTACCACACTGTTGTCTGTGCATGTGTCTGTGTGTGTCCGTGTATGCATACTTAAGCTGGATACTAACATGTAGAAAAGACGCTGATGGACCTTTGCTGGGTCACTGATTCAGACATGGTCCTCCAAACCTGCCATGGCACCCTTTTATAGAATGGAAATTAAAACTATTTGTAGAGAGAAGAAAAATACTATCCATTGCACAGCCATAAGCGGACACTTACAATTAGTGGTTTCCTTTTTCTGGGTGCTTAGTAAGTTAGTAAATTAGTAAAGAATCTGTAGAAATAGACCATGCCCTATTAAGCTAACAAATTTATATATGTTTGTACATATGTAAATTTTATGTTAAACTTTTTTGAATAAGCAGAATTATAAAGCATTTATAAAGCATAAGAGGATATATAAGAAAAATTTCCTCCCCAGCTCTGCCTCCCTACCCCCAGTCACTCAGTTGGCTTCCCAGAAACAACATATACTAATTTCTTTGTGATTCCATTTACAGATATTTCATGAATATCAACACACATACACACACACACACATACACCCCAAACAAAGAGGTCATATTTATAGTCCATTTGTATGGTTTACAAAAAATTGCCTTGGTGCTATCCTATAATTTTATTTAAATTCAATTAATTAATACATACTGCATTATTAGTTTCAGAAGTAGTATAATTGCCAGTTTTAATCATTGGGTTAATGTGACTCAGGTTGTTAATACCAACAGTCAGAGGGAATCAGGAAGGGATCAAAACAGAGGTTGTGGGGAGGGTCGGGAGGTGGGGAGGAGAGAAAATACTGGCAAAGATATTTGAGGTGTGTTCACAAATGAATAACAAATCATTAATTCAATTTATTAATTATTAATTTTTAATACAATTGCAAGACATTATTTTTGATCAGCACTGACACATAAACTATATATTAGTTATCAATCAATTAAGGCAACACTAGCTTTCATGGATTTTTAAAATTCCTTTAAGTGCTATATGATGATTATGATGATATAGAGCCACATTTTTTTTTTTTTTTTAAAGATTTTATTTATTTATTTGACAGAGAGAGATCACAAATAGACAGAGACGCAGGCAGAGAGAGAGAGAGAGGGAAGCAGGCTCCCTGCTGAGCAGAGAGCCCGATGCGGGACTCGATCCCAGGACCCTGAGATCATGACCTGAGCCGAAGGCAGCGGCTTAACCCACTGAGCCACCCAGGCGCCCTAGAGCCACATTTTTTAAATTACATATAAGAGAATAAAATGAAAACAGCTCAAAAAATACAGAGTATTTAAGCAAACACAAGCTATTTTGAAGATGAGTATTTTTAGTTATGTGTGAGCGAGCATGAACCCTTTTAGAAGATTTATTTGAGTAGAAATTCTGTAAACATCTAAACCAAAATGTTAACTGTAGTGATCTTTGGGTAGAGGAATTATAGGTGATTTAAAACGTATTCCTTGTAACTTCTGGCCTTGCCTTTTTAATTTGAATATGACAAATGTGCATTCCTTTATAATCATAAAAACGTTGAAGCTATTCCCATTTTGAAGAAAAAATGTAATGGCAATGCATTTGAAAACCAATTATACCCTGCTAACCCCAAAGAAATGAATTGTTTTCCTGTGGCTATGGGATGTTTAGTTTTTTATGATCAGGCCCTCAGATGAAGTGACTCTTAAGACCAGTGAAATCAGTGGGTTGTGGTAAGGAATCCCAATGGATGGGAAATCAGAGCTCAGTTTGCAGTTAACCACTGATTAATATTCCAGGTCCCAAGGTTGTAAGTTGCTGTTAACGTGTAGCTCTTTGCACCCCTGTTTGGTTATCCTACAACTTTAAATATGATCGGCTGGGAGGTGCACAATGTTTTTCTGAAGGTTCTGTCCATTTCGGAGGAGGTGTGTATTCAACGATAGCAAGATTAGTGAACATTTTTAAGGAAGTTTATTTAAGGAAACATTTAAGCATAAATATTACATTCAACCCTGGGAAAATATTATCTCAGCGTTCCGAAGCCAAAATAAGGTTACTTTTGTTTATATAATTTTATCTTCAGGTTTGGTTTTTGCAATTGCCAGATGATCAGCATGCTAATTAAATGCAAAATAGATAAAAATACATCCCATTGCAAAAGGTTATATAGTTCTTTAAAAATTATTTCAGTGCTTCGTGTTGCAGTTCATGCTGCAGCACACATGTTGGATAATGCTAGTGTAGATGCTTATAGCAATCTCAAATGTGATTTATAAAAGAGATAATACAAAAATATGTATTTCCACTGTATTTGCTGAAGCTTACAGCATCTACTCAAGAGTCGTGTCCCGATCACATGGGAAGGTTAATAATGTATTTCTTTTTTTTTTTTAATTTTATTTATTTGACAGAGATCACAAGTAGGCAGAGAGGCGGGTAGAGAGAGAGAGGAAGGGAAGCAGGCTCCCCGATGAGCAGAGGGCCGGATGCAGGGCTCGATCCCAGGACCCCAAGATCATGACCGGAGCCAAAGGCAGAGGCTTTAATCCACTGAGCTGCCTAGGCGCCCCAATAATGTATTTCTATTTTGAAACCACTCAGGTGGTCTCTGAGAAAGGGAGACGGGATACTAGGGGTCTCCTCCTGCTTCTGAGGGCCAGCCTAATGCCTCTCATAATGCCAGTGCTGGTAAATGTTATTGAAGACTGATTTCTACACGTCTATCTCAGGGCTTGGCCCAACAACACTTAATTCAGTTAGTTTCCTTTGAAAGCTATTTTGCAGGAAATAATCAAAGATACTAAGTGTCTTAATACTGGCTTGGTTAAGCCAGTATTACCCTGACACTGACCCCTGAAAAGTGACAACCTACAGAGAAAGAATTACTTCAATTTTGATTTGTCAAAATAGAGATGTGAAAAGGCCTCCCAAATGTTACTGTAAATGGAATCCAGAGCCTTTAAAAAAAATCCAGCAGTATTCTGAGCTATACCACCAGCACATAGAATTTATTTCAGTAATGCAAGGTTTAGCATTATGAAACATTTTGTTATAGGAAATTACCCAAGAATTATTTATAACTATATGATTGTTCACCTTGAAACCCCAAAGAAAGCTACCGAAAAATAATGAGATATTATAAAGTTAATATTTACAAATCATATAGCATTTCTATATTCTATCAATAATTAATAAGAAATATATTGGAGAAAAGATCCCATTACAATACGAAAACAATTTCATTCAGTTCAGCTATTGTGCAGGTGCAGAAAACACAAAGTTTAATAAAAGGAAAACATTAACAAATGGAAAGACACACCAGGTCAAATCCTCCCAGGTTAATGAAAATGCTATTCCAACTGTAATCACAGCAGTATCTGGGGGACATGACAAGGAAATCCTAAAGCACATCTTGAAGAATAAATGTAAGAAAATAACCAAGACCATTTGGGAAGGGGGGAAAAAACAGTGATGATGTGGGATTTTTCAATTCCAGATGTTCACTCATCGATTTTAATTGAGTCTACCATCAGCCTACCATAGATCCAATTTATTGGTTGCATCAGCCAAGTATAAGCGGAATTCAATACTGTGATAGAAAAAATAGGAATGTTCGTACTACATTAAAGTGCATTTCATAAACTATTCTTTCCTTAAAATGTTTATGGAACAGTAAGGTAGTTCTAAATAAAGCCCAGTGTTACATAAATCTAGTGACCATAAATTTGACAGCCTAAGAGTTTTAATGACTTGGAATTAAAATCAAGAGTGTATGTTTAAAATGGAGATATGTACCAAATAGAATCTCCAGTGGGCAAAGAAGTGAGACTTAATGGGTGTATATGATCAAAAGATGGGAATTTTCTCTCTCTTTTTTGAGAGAGAGAGGAAGAGCAAGCACACATGTGTGTGAGGGTGGGGAGGGGGCAGAGGGAGAAGGAGAGAGAGAATCTTGAGTAGGCTCCATACCCAGCCTGGAGCCCTACACAGGGTTCGATCTCACAACCCTGAGATCATGACCTGAGCCGAAATCAAGAGTTGGATGCTTAACCAAATGAGCAACCCAGGCACCCCAGGAATTATTTTTTAGATTCTATTTTTAAGTATTCTTTACACCCAATGTGGGGCTTGAACCCATGACTCTGAGATGAAGAGTCTCCTGCTCCACTGACTGAGCCATGTAGGTGCCCCTAAAGGCAGGAATTTTTTTGTTTTTATTGTATATAGTTATTTTTATATTTTTACAGTTAGCAAGAGTTTGTCTAATCCTTTCACAATAGAAAAACAGCAGAAGAGGAACAAAATGATGCCTATCTTATAAAATTAAAATGAGTTATTGATGACTTAATGATTTATTTTTTTCTACATTGTATCCAACTTTCAATCTTCAGAGCTCTCTGCGAGGACACACATGGAGTAATTCAGACATGGTCCCTCCCCTCAAGGGGGCTATATAAAGACACATGTCTAAGATACTTGAAGTAAGAACAAGAATGAAATGACTTCAAAGACATTGTCTGAGACTCACTCCCCAAGGTCATGCACCATGTTGTTTCCATGTAATGAATAGTTCCTTCGTACATTACTTAGTACTAATTTATCGTGGTTATGCTCATCTGTTCACAGAGCTATTATTTCCTTGAGCTTATTTGTTAAATTCAGTATGCAGCATTGCTGTCAAACTACTATCTCCAAGTTTCAAAATATTACTTTAATTTACCTACTCTTA